AACCAGTGGCCTGCTCTGCATCTGCCGACGCCCCAGGTCCACCGAGGCTCCCCACGCCTGCAGCCTGTTCCCTCTTCCCTCCTGCAGCGGCCTCCGGCTGGAGCCAGACCCCTGGCAAATCACAGGTGCTGCCCCCCAGGGCCCACTTCCTGCCCTATCTAAAACAACAGCAGCTGTGGGGGCCTGATAAGGCTGGGTCCTGGGGGGATCTGCACCCTTGGGTGAGAGGGAGGATGGCCAGGGGCCTGATAAGGCCGCCCCCAGGCCCGATGACCGCATCCTGCAGTGTCTGCCCTGTGTCAGAACAAAAGCAAAGCGGCCGCGGGCGGTGGGAGCGATAGCTGCGCTCGGGGACGGGAGGGGTCTGGCTGACTCGGCCTATTGTGCAGAGTATCAGGCTCTGATTAGCTGGGGTCCCCTGGGCCCGATAGGGGCGGATGTTTCAGAAGAGAATAGACTTTCTTTGTTCTTTACTGCGTGTGAGTGTCCACGTTATCATCTGAAAGGAAGGAAGAACCTTGCTTCAAAATCTGAGGCTGGAAAAGGTAAATGGCCGCAGAGCTCCACGCGCCCGACCCACACGCACAGTGAGAGAGACCTGCGTCTGTGGGGGCCAGGGAACGTGTCCCCCACATGGTGATGGGCAGAGGGGCCCCTGGCACATGGCCCGGGGCTCACACGTAGTCCTTCCCCAGTGAATTGGGAGCTAACGCAGATTGCCTAAGAGAAACTCTACCGTGAGCGTGGTGTCCCTGCCGTGCAGACGCAGAACCGGGGTTCGCTCCTCCCGTTCCCTAGGACAGGAGCCCGAGGACTGCACCGTCCGCAGGGGAAACCACACGCCCTGGCTTCTCCCCCGCACCGAGGCTTTTTAATAAGCCTGCCTGACCCTACACGCCTGCAATGCAGACCCTTCAACTCCCCGGAAGCATTCCCAGGACAGGGCAGTCACGCCTCCCGTGCTCTGGCCTTCTGGACACTTTCACACCTACGGTGCCCTACATGACGAGGTGTTCTGCACCTGGCAATCTGGACTCAGCATCGTGGTTTCAAAGCCCACCCAGGTCGCAGTGGGGGTCAGCACCTCCTCTTCCTCCTGGCTGAGTAACAGCCCCCCATGAGGTTGGATGGGCCTTTCCTGCCTCTTCCCCAGTGGCTGGACACCTAGCCTGTTGCACACGTTTGGATGCTGCAGATAATGCTGCTGAGAACATCTGTGTGCAGGTGTGCGTGGACGTGGGTGTTGACTTCTTGTGGGCAGACACCTCAGAGTGGAACCAGTGGGTCATATGATAATATCACAGTCCGTGCAGTGGTGGGACCCAGCATCTGTGACAGCCAGGGGCTCCAGTCTCCCCATCATTTGTCAGCTGTGCTGTCCCTCTCACCTAATGACATGCATTCAGATGGGTAGGAAACTACCTCTGTGTTGCTGTCGCATGTCCATTCCCTGATGACTGATGATGAGGAGTATGTTTTCATGTGCTTATTGACCATTCATAGACCTTCTTTGGAGAAATGTTCATCCACACCTTAAAGCCCAGGTTTTTACCTGGCTGTCTGTCTTATTATTACTGAGATAAAGGTTTTTGTGTATTCTGGATATAAACCCTTTATTGGATATGTGTTTGCAAATATATTCTTGCAGTTGGCTGCCTGTCTTCTCATTTTCCTAATGGTTCTTTCAAAGCAGAAAAAAATGTGAATTTTGATGGAGTCCCATTTACCAGTTTTTTAATAGTGGATATGTATTTGGTACCATATCTAAAAAATCTTTGCCTAATCTAAGGTCTGGGAGATTCTTCTCATACGCTACTAAATTTTTTATTGTTCTAGCTTCTACATTTAATTCTATGATCACTTTTGAGATTTTTTGCATGTGGTGTGAAGTTAAAGGTGCAAGCTCCTTATTTTGCATGTGGACGTTCAATTGTTCTCACACCATTTGTTAAAGGGCTATCCTTTGCCCCAGTTAAGCGACTGGGCATTTTTGTTAAAATTCAATTTACCATAAACATAAGGATTTCTGAACTCTAAACTCTGTCCATTGGTCTGTATGTCTCATGCCAATACCACACTGTCTTGCTTATTATAGCTTCATAGTAGATTTTGAATTGGGAAGTGTGTATTCCCACTTTGTTCTTTGTTTTCAGAACTGTTTTGGCTATTCTGGATTTTTGAAATTCCACATGGAATTTTAAATTCATTTTAAAGCTATTTTTGCTAGGGGCACCTGGGCGGCTCAGTTGGTTAAGCGTCTGCCTCAGGCTCAGGTCCCGGTCCTGGGGTCCTGGGATTGAGCCCTGTGTCAGGCTTCCTGCTCAGCGGGGAGTTTGCTTCTCTCTCTGCCTGCTCCTCCCTTGCTTGTGATCTTTCCCTGTCAAATAAATAAATAAATATATTTTTTAAAAGGCTAGTTTTGCTAGATTTGGGCTTCTTGGTCAACAGTCAATAGGTTTTCTTTGTGGCCTCCATGATTGCTAATGAGAAGTCGGCTGGTAATCTTGTTCAGGATTCCACACACCTGATATTTTTGTTTGTCTCTTGATGCTTTAAGGATTCTTTTTCTTTGAATTTTGACAGTATAGCCATGATGTATTTAGGTGTGAATCTCTGGATTTATTCTAGTTGGAATGTGTGTGGGTTTTTTTTTTTTTGGGGGGGGGGAGGGATGCATACAATGTTTTTCATCAAATTTGGAAAGATTTTAGTCATTATTTCTTGATATGTTTCCTACCCCTTTCTCTCTCTCCTCTCCTTCTGCATTCCCAATATGCCTGTTTGTATGTTTTATGGTGTCCCTCATATTTACTTTTCTCTATTATTTTCCTTCCTATTCCTCAGACTAGATAATCTACAGACATTTCTTCAAGTCTTTAAATTCTTTTTCTCTGCCAACTCCAATCTACTGTTCAGCCCCTCTAATGAATTTTTCATTTCAGCTACTGTGCTCTGCAAGGCTAAAATGTCTATTCGGTCCTTTCAAAAACTTTTAATCTCACTATCAATAGTCTCTATTTGGTGAAACACTGTTGACGTACTTTAATTCTTTAAACATAGTTTCTTTTAGTCCTTTGGACATATCTATAGCTGCTGATTCAAAGCCCTGCTGCTAAGTCCAACACCTGAGCCCTCCGAGGGACACAGCCTAGGCCTGTGGGTCATTTCTTCTCTTCTATATGGGATACATTTTCATGTTTCTTTGCATGTTTCATCACTTTTTAGTTGACAACTAGACATTATAGATAATATATCATAGCAACTTTGGAATTAGACTACTCCCCCCAGTAGGGTTTGCTGTTATTGCTGGGCTCTTTTTTTTTTCTTCCCTTGATGTTGTGTATTTGATTATTGACTTTTCTGGACTAATTCTGTGGGGGGTCCTGTGTTCTCTGCAGTGTGTGGCTGCTAAGTTCTCTATTCCTGTCTTAAAAATTCTTGTTTTTATTTTTAAGTCTGGCTTCTGGAGGGTCACCCTCAGGTTAGCAGGGTTTACGGTCAGTTATGAGTCAGGAGGTTTCTCTTAAGTCTCCACCTTCTGTCAAAGAGATAGAATCACAGGCAACACACAAATAAGCCTTAGCTTCCACTTTTCCTTTTCGTGCAGATGTGGAGGCCAGCTGGAGGTGAATGACCTGGTCCTTTCTACTCCCAGGTCTTTCCTGAGCCTGTGCTCTTTCACGTGCACACCTGCAGTGTTCCAATCCCCAGGAATACGCTGGGGCTTTCCAAACCCCTGCGGTCATCTTGTGTGGCTGGTCTCCTATTTGTCCCAGTTGAGTTCACAGCCTGGCAGCTCCCACGAGCATGAGTCCAGCTGTCTGCTGTGCTTGGTCATGGCCTAGGAAGATGACTTTTCTAGGGAGCTTCACCATCAGTCAGAAAGCTGTTTGCACTTTGGGGAAGGGGTTTTTAACAGAGCCCCACAGAGGCCAATCTCCTCCACTGCCAGTGAAGCTGCTGGCTTTCCAGGGCTATACTCCAAGGGGCTGGGGAAGGCTGATGGGGGTAGTTCCTGCTGAAAGCACCACAGATCCTGCTCTTCTTAGCAGGATCCAGTTTTTTTTTTTGAATAAATGCTTTTCAGTTTGTTCTGTCTCTTTGGTGAATTTCCAGATTGTGAAGTGATTGATTTGATAGTTTCTCACTATTTTTGTTGCTTTTTTGGGGAGTGCTGACTCACTGAGGCCCTCCCTTCAACACTTTGGAAGTCCTGCCTGTCTTCCTGTCCTTCTTGAGCTATCAAAAAGTGCCTCGGGTAATAACCAGGACTTCTCTGCCAAAGAAGAAAATAGACTACAGTCCTCTTTGGCCTGTAAGGTCAACTCACACTTGAAAGCCAGATTTTTAAGCAGGAATCTTTGCATATCACAACTCTAGTGGAGAAAAAATACTCAATAACAGAGCCAAGCCTTGGTAGAGAGACTGTTTAAATCAGAGCTGGCAGATGCCTGTGGTGCTTCTGGCCTCTCACTTGTTCTGTGATGGTGAGCAGGTCAACTAACATTAGTCTGGAAGCCCCATCTCCTCTGTCAAGTGGGGTTATCACTGGAAGCTCTGGCTATGGGATTGTTCTAAGGTTGAAAGTGGAAATTGAGAGGATATGTGTAAAAAGTCACTTTGAAAAGTACCAAAGGCTATAGAGCCAGTGCTGTTATTGGAATTGGGGTTTCCTGTTTGTTGACAATGATGTATCATGCTGGACTGGGAACGATCTCCTCAGCTCTGCTGGGAAGATAATTGCTACAATTCCAAATATCCATGGTCTTCTCTGCCTGGACTTGATAGACCTTTGTGAGCCAATGATTCAGTCTACCTTAGGATCCATATGTAAGAATACACTTTTGTATCAGGAAGATCACTTAGAAGTGTCCGTGCCTAGCTGGCTCTCTGCCTGGAGCTCCAAGGGCAGGAGAGCCAAGTGCCTGGCTTGAGTTACAGGGCCCTGGCTGCTCTCGCAAGAACACAGTTGTTCAACAGATGTAGACACAGCCCTCCACTGCCCTGGTCACCACTGTCCCCAAAGAAATGCCTGGCTCTGACTGTCTATCACCAACTGTGCTTTTTGAATGTGGCCATTATGCTTTTTTTTTTTTAAGATTTTATTTATTCATGAGCGAGAAAGAGAGAGAGAGAGAGAGAGAGAGAGAGAGAGAGAGAGAGGCAAAGACACAGCCTGAGGGAGAAGCAGGCTCCATGCAAGGAGCCCGATGTGGGACTTGATTTTGGATCCCAGGATCAGCCCTGGGCCTAAGGTAGACGCTCAATCGCTGAGCCACCCAGGCATCCCCCATTACATCTTTAAATACCTTGTTTTATGGCTTCATGCTCTGGTGACACACAACAGTGGAATGCTATTTGCTGGCTCACAGATCTGAAGGTATCTGTAGAGGGTGCTCATTCTCAAGTAAGAAAGCTCCACAAACATCAGAGAAAGAAAAGGCACAGAGCTCAGGCCAGCATAGCATGACTTTGTCTGAAATGGAGACAAAGTCAGTTAAAGAACTTTTGGAAAGGGGCTCTCATCTCTTTGCAGAAAGAACCAGCATTATGGTCCTGAAACGCTCACACACTGACCCTCCAACTACTCAGAGCTGCCTGTGACGATGGATGGAAACACCCAAACACGCCCCATGCTGCATGCACATGGTCACAGCTGGGCATCAGCTCTCTGGCCCTCTGTGCTCCAGGTGCCGAGTGTTCAAGCTCCGTGAAAGTTTCAGGCTCTTCCCTCCGCCTTTCTTCTATGACTTTATTTATTTCTCTCAAATTAATAATAAAAGGGAAACAAACTAAGGCATATGATGGGGGTGGGTGGGCAGAAGGTTAACAGCACCTGAACGCAGTGTCACTGATTCCCCTCCAAGTACACAGATAATAATCAGGCTTTAGAACGATGCTTGATTAGAAATACAGTGTAATTCAAAGCATTTCATGCTCATTGTTAACGTCTACACCAGGTAAGAATGAAGACGAGCACCCAGAGCCTTGCAGACACTGATGCTTCAACATCCCATAAACTGAAGGGTCCCCTCCTCCTCCTCACTCTGCTGCCCATAGGAAGAACAGCAGATGCTCCAACGTCACAGCCTGGCAGGTTACGGGGCTGGGTGCTGGCAGCGGTGCTGGGATACCTGCACCCTATTTATCGAGAGCCTTACTCAGCAGCCCTGTCAGAGTCACTGCTCCTGGCCCCTTCTTCCTCCATGAAGGGCCAGCCTCCTAACCACTGCCATCCTGGGGGTCAGCAGCAATAGGTTTTCCAAGGGAAGCATGCTCCTCTCGAGAGACAGTAGAGACACAGGGCTTGGTCCCGGTCTACACCAGTCACACTAACCTCTGTTGGTTTCTGGGTCACACTCAGGTTCATGTAGACAAAGACTAAAATATCTGAGCCAAATGTTTGCCTCTCTGTCCGACCCCGAGAAGCACACTGTCCCTGGAAGCTCTTGTGTCCTTGCATGCAGACTGATGTCTCAGCGAGGTGCACACAGAAGCCTGCCGCGGTCCCTCGGGGCCCGTCACCTAGCGAGTGAGCAGAGGCTTGCCTCCACAGAGAGCAGCCTCAGGCCCGGAGCCAGGGGAACACCCTTCCACAGGGTCTCCAGAGAACCCATGCAGCGCCTGCGGCCCACTGCGCCGACAGCAGCCCGTCTCTGGGTGGCGGGTAGTGTAATTTTTATGCCTTGAGACTCCCAAGTGGACAAGCAAGTGTGTTAAGGACTGACCCTGATGAGTTATTCGCATGGCTGAATTCACCTATCCATCACGCAGTAGCCGCCGTTCACAACATTAACGACTCTGCGTGTTTGATCACTGTGATACAGACTTTTTCCAGCATCATTAGGAACAGGGAAGGCCCCAGCCTTGGGCGCCAGGCCAGCTCAGTAAAACTTTCCATGAGGAAAGATTTTGTTTTCTCCCAGGGCGGCTGGGCTCAGGCATGAGGCAGAGCAGAGTGGAGGACTCATGGCCCAGACTCAGGCAGACACGATCCTGGCCGCCTAGTCCACCTGCTTGTTGTTTTAATGACATCGAGACTTCTGGAAACCCGAGCACTCCTGGCGGGGGCTGAAAGGGCTGATTGTGGCAGAGTCTGCAGGGCGGTTGAGGCAACAACAGTGGCTGAAGCATAGGCACTCCAATGCCTCGCGAGCGTCACTTGCAAAGCTCATAGGAGGTGCTCCGTTTCTGCAGAACGGTTACTCTGTGTGGGTCCCCCCGTGAACACTGGGATAAACCTCGTGTGCCCAGACATGGTTAGATACCGTTCCTGCAAACACTCTGAGATAAGCCCCACGACACACAAGCAATCATGTGTGTACACGTATGAACTGCCCACATTTACACGTGAGTGAATCAAAGGACAACCCAGTCCCAGAAGAGTAGGGCCTCCACACAGTGCAGCTCTCTCTGTACATGGGTGCCTCGGAAGTCGTACAGAGACATTGGTCACTGAGAGCTTTCATGGCGTATTTTAAAATATGCATTATAAATAACATGGGCCCCATAAAACAAATCTTTTAAAAATGTACCCTTGTGGTTCCGCCATGATTGAGAAGTCTGAACTGAGAGCTTAAGTCTTAAGAATATTGTTGGGCCAAAGAATAAGTTACAATTGAAGCTTATTTATGGGCCAGATGCTTTGGAAACAAAACCTGAAAGTAATGACAACTGAGAAATTAAAAAAAAGTTGGGATTCATCTTCAGGCAAGCTCTCCTGTGCCTACGTTTTTCCTTAAGATAAACAGAAAACTGGGAAATGCGAGCCCGTCCATGTTCCAGTGGGTCACTGAGCAGAGCACGCATATGTGAGGGGACAGTTCCAAGTGTGAAGCAGCCTGACAACCATTTACGTGCCCCAAATGCCCAGCTCCCTGCCTCTGGACAGAACACCCTATTCCTGCCTTTTTTCATCCTACATCCTGGAAAACAAAACACCAGAATGGAACCAACCCGCCCATCAATGACTTCTGAACGGTGGTTTGGATAGAGGTGGTAAGCAAACCCTTGGCATAAATACGTAAAGGTCAGAGGTTACTGACAGCTGTGGCTCCCATCGGGCAGACAGAAATGTTCCAGAAAACTCTGCTGGTTTGCAGGGAAAGGCCAGGTGAGTGTCTCTGCGCGCTCCCTGTTACTTAATCTGTCACCACAGGGGCTGGCCCTCCACTGACTGCCCTGCGTCCCTCCACACGACTGCTGGGGAGCCACTTGTGAGCCCGGCGTGCCCAGACATGGGGAACCCACGGAGCCCATGTGCCCGAGAAGGCTTCATTGCCACCAGGCTGTCCCATCACTGGTCTTTCCAGGAAGTGGGCACATGCCCCTGACCCGAGCTGCCCATGCCTCCCGCCTCTGCCTGCCGAGCGGCGTGTGGAAGGTTACACGTTCACTGTTTCACGTCAAGGCCACTTCAAATCCACAGCGTCTTATTTTCTAACTTAGATTTCTGCTGCTGTTTCCATTTCCAGGCACCAATTCACACTGGAGACCTAGACAGAAGACCTATGTCCTGGAGGGGTCCCGACGCCTTCGTCCCACGCTGCCTCTTGTCCTCCAAAGACACAGGACGGAAGTACACACAGCGCACACTGGACATGTCTCCCCGAGCTCACTGTGGTCACAAGCAAGCAGGGCAGGTGAGGAGCATGAGAGGGCTGGCGAGACGTGCAATGGTGGTGAGATGCCATGACTCCAAAGCACAAGCACCCCGCTCCAGAGCTGAGCCAGGTGGCAGGGGCCCAGCACCAGGAAGGCTCAGCACAGTCTCAGGCACAGGCCCACCTCCCTCCCCACGCTGCCCCGGGCCTGCTCTGGTGGTTAGATCACTCGGACCATTAGCACAGGGGCTAGGAAAGGATGGGATTGCTGGTGCCCAGTCAAGTCCTACAGGCCGTCCAAAAGCGTCCCAAGGTACAGCCTCCCCTCCGTGAAACCCGCGAGCCCTTCCCATCAGCCCTGTCCAAAGGGTGCCAGCCCAAAAATTCCCTGGGAATTTGGGTGAGGAGGGGCTCAGGGGGGCCCAGTGTGTCCTGCCACAGACAACCTTTGCTCCAAGGAGAGGGTGGGTCCTAGGCCCCGGGGCGCCCAGCTCAGCAGAGTCACTGCCCTCTCAGAGGACACGGTGCTTTCCCATTCCTGTAACTGTAAGAAACAGCCGAGCCCATTCTGTGTCCTCACTGCCTGTGGACTCGGGGTCTCCAGCTGCCCAGACAGACCCATGGACATTCCTGCGACTTCCCTAATGGTGGACACCCACCCAGACCAGGGGGGAAGCCCCGGCCCCTTGGCTTTCTGCAGCTGCCTCCGGGGTGGGCACGGCTAACCCAGCCTAGGCTGGCACGTGCTGCAGGGAAGCCGGAGCTAGCATGAGGCTATGTCCCTGGAGCGCAAGGCATGCTCCTCTCTGGCCGCCCTCAGCCTCGGGAAGGCCGCTCCGGGGGGTGTGTTGGGAGGGCATCGTGGGCCATCCACCTACAGTGGCTCTGGAAGGACCCCAGGGGGATACGCTAGGGCCACTTCCATAAGGGGTCCAGGGTCAGCACTTATTCCTCAAGGGCTTGGGCTTTGCCTGAGCACCACTGAGGAGCATGTGTGGGCGTGAGCTCAGGAGACATGCGCGAGCTACGTCAACATGTCATCTGCTTTCTATGCAGCTGCTGGTGCAGTTGCCTCAACCATGATTGTGTTCTGACCAAAAGACAAAACAGATAAACAATGGCAAACACCTCCTGCGCATGCTCCCCTGAGATGAAGCTAAAAAGGTTTGCTTATAGCTAGCCTGGGCTTACGCGGCATCCTTGGAAGTAACGGCCTATGATCCCAGCCCCAGGCGGAGGCAGAGGGAACCCAACAGGCAGCCTCAGCAGGGAACCTCCCAGGACCATAGGCGTGGCTGGGAGGCACCTGCTGTTGGGGGCAGGGGCTGAGGCTTGGGGCAGGAGGTGACGGAGTGATGTGCTCCCAGGGAGACCGAGGCAGAGGAAGACAGGGAGATGGGTCGGAAAGTGATCTTACAAAGTGGGTCTCAGTGTGGTACCGTGGGGGGGGGCAGCAGCCAGTGAAAGTGGGTGTTGATGACGTCTGAGGTGGGAGCGCTAGGACTGGGTGGCAGGTGGCAGGGCAGGCACTGCTGAAGGAGTCGCAGCCAGGGACCAGCAGGGAGGTGACCCCAGAGCCCAGGCCCCTCAGCCAGCACTGGGGTGCTTCACCCCCTTGGACAAGAGTCCATGCTGCAGGGCGGGTAGCCAGTGCCCTGTGGACAGAATGGCTGAGGGGGACCATCCCCCTTGGCTTGACCCTCCTGACCAAATCCAGTGCCCACACAGGTCACCTCTGGTGCAGGGAGCCCAGAGACCTGTGGGCCCCCCGGGACAGGACGCCCCCATCACTCACCGCCTGGACAGTTCCCACCCCACTCCTGACCCCAACAAGGCTGCCTCTTCTCACAACGGACTTGCATCTGAGAGCAGCACCAGGACCAGGGCTGGGGCAACCACTTGCTCCTGGACACGCCACCACGTCCTGAGATGAAGCTGAGCACCCATGAGCCAGGTGGGGAGCAGGGAACAGAAGGGAGTCCCATGGAGACCCAGCCACGTCCTGGGGCTGCTGAGGTCAGCGGTGCACTCGGAGCATGGTCCTAAAGGAAGAAGCCGCTGGGTCCTGAGGGTGTGCCTGCCAGCCTGCCCAGGGCAGCACGCACCACGAGGACACCTCCAGGCTCAAGGGTGAAGCGTCTATGCAACAAAGATCCCCCAGAGCTTGCGGCCTCAAGTTCAGGACGGAGAAGCGCAGGGTGGCCAGTCCCTGCAGTCTGGGAGCCTGGTCCGCCTGGGCCCTGGGCCGAGGCCTTCATGTGTGCCCTGGCCACCCGGTGCCCACACGGCTGCTCACCCTGGAACAGTAGCTGCAGGAGCAAGGACTCCCGGCAGCATCAGGGCTGTGGACACTTGCAGACTCACACCGCAGACACATGACCTCAACGAAGCCCGCTATGCTGGGAGAAGCAAGTCTTTTGTGTTTGGACATCACTTTCAAGGAAAACAGCGAGAGGAGGCAGTGGGGAGTGGGGGCGCGTGCCAGTGCTGTCCTGGCTCTCAGCCCCACTGAGCTCAGCGGCCGGCCAGGTGGACATCTGGCCCCGGAAAAGCTTCCACCTGAGGAGCCGGGAAGCACCCCCGATGGGCGCCTGGCACCTGCCACCATCCACACAGAGCCTATGAGGCCCGGGACCAGACCGGCACCCTGGGCAGCGCACGGGGCCTCTGCTCCCATGGCTGATGCCCAGTGGTCAGGGGAGCAAAGCGCCAGAGGCCCACACCCCCCATGTGGCTCTAGCGGCACCGCATCCCAAAGGAAGGAGCAACAGGGTGTCTTCCACTGATGGCTGACACAGCTCAGCACTGGGGGGTTGGCCCCAGCCCTGCAGGTGAACCGAGAGGATCTCCTTCCACACCATCCTGACTGCGCATGCTCGACTGTGAGCTTCCTGCCTTCCCCCGGGTGCCTGATGGGAGCACCACTGCCTGGGGGGAAATGTTACCCACATTCAGCTAAGCCCTCTTTACAAATCCTTTTTCTGATCCATGAAGCTGTTACGACGCCCAGAAACGAGAGAGTGGGACCCAGAACCACGTGCCACTGCTGGGCGGCCTCTGCTGCTACAACCAGTTGGCTTGTGTGGGGCAACACTTGGCACAGCTTTGGCGCCATGGGACTCCTGGCCAAGGAGTGGGCCACACAGCAGACCACCAGCTGGCGGTAATGCCCCCAGGGGCTGCAGGATGTGCCTCACACATGCCACGCACGCTCCTCTGCCTGGTGGCTAACGCGCACACCCCTCCTTGCTACGCTCGCAGACACGGCACCAGGCTGAGCGTGCGCCTCAGGCTGCCGGCACTTACCGTCGTCCAGGTACAGCTGGTCCAGCTCCTGAGGCTCTCGCTTGACCGTTACGGGAATGGGGGCCAGACTATGATTACTGTCCTCACGCACCTCGGGCGGCGGCACAGGCCGGGGGGCTGCAGACTCGCTCCTCGGAGCCTTCGGCAGTTGGTGCTGCTGCGGGCCCATCTCAGATGGGCGGGTGGGGCTGCAGGACTGCAAACAGGTCGGCTCTTGGGGACCGGACGGTGGTGAGGAGGAGGGGCTGTCAGGACAGAGAGCTGGCCGCCGGCCCAGGGGACAGTGGCTGCTCAGCTGTGCACTCACCTGTGGTCGCAGCAGGGCGGGCGGGGGCTGCTGCGGGGGCCCGGCGTGCACGCCCGCAGGTGTCGGTGTCTCCTGCACAGCGAGGAGCCCTCCAGCCGGTCGCTGAAGTCCAAGGTGCCCGTGGCCGGGGCTGGCCATGCCCTTGCTGTAGGCGGTGGAAGAGAGGTCGTGCATCTTCGGGCCGGCGCTGGGTGGTGGCGACACCACGGTGCTCCTCTGTGGACAGGGTGGGAAGCCGGGCACCAGGCAGGAGCCCGGGTCAGGCGGCATGGCCAGCTGCTGGCTGTAGCACGACTTGGGGAGCGGGCTCAGGTCCTGGCTCGCTGGTCCACAGGGCAGAGCGGGCTCATAATCATCGGTGGGCTCTGTTTTTATGGTTGGAGCTGCAAGAAGCAGAGACGTTGGGTAAACACGGGCTGCGCATGGGTGTGATGGATGGGGCGGGCAGCCTAGGGCACCCTTGGAAAACAAACCGCATCTTGACTGAGTCCCCGCGTCTCCGCCTGGTTCTCCCACCCAATTAAGGGGAGGGCGTGAGTCACCGTCTCCAGGAAGCTGCAGCTGGTTCTAATACTGAGAACACTGTTTTTGTTGGAATCCCCCCCAGCACTAATGTGCTATAAAAATCCATTTGAAAACGGCAGTAGAAGCTCGGGACCCCAGGGCCTGTGGATTTGTAGTAATCAAAGCAAAAATGTGCACTTGGACGTGCGACCGCGTTCCCCCTGCTACTGACGCCCCATCTGATACACGTCTGCACGTTCGGGGATCTTGAACATGCACGGGGACAGCGCGGACGCGTCCCTAAAACCCAAGGGAAGTGAGGGAAGCAGTAAGTACGCGGTGACCAGGGTGGGGGAAGCCCTGGACGTTAGGGGAACACTTGCCCACCCAGGACATTTCTGTCAGGTCCACTCCTCATGGAGGAGCCACACAGCAATGACAGACCGCCCTGGCCACGCAGTCCCTATGCAGCTCAGGGCTCCCATCCCTCCCTCCCTGGGAGAGGGGCTGCCTGGCAGACCGAGGCACAGGGGCCTGTCCGATGCCACCAGGCCTGGACAGCAGCCTCCGCCTGGGAGGGAGTATCGGTCAGGAATAGCCGGCGAAGCCGTGGGGCTTCCACAGGACCCGCTGTGTCCTCGGGGTCTCCCCCGGCCCCGTGCACTCCAGGCCTGTCTGCTCATCTGCGTGTAGAAGTTGCACATCTGGGGCCGCACCAGGCTGCTGTGCTGCCCCTGGAAGTATCATGGGTAAGCGGTGGGCTCCAGACCTTCCACCCCTGCTTCCACCTCCTCTGGGGATACAGACAGAGGCAAGGTGGCCGGGGGGCCTATGGGTGGCCCCAGCTCCACCTTAAATAAAGCAAAGCACGTCTACATTCTGAGATCCACCAATAGCCGTGAGCGGTGATGAACGGGCAGCTCGGGGGTGGCATCGACACGTGCGGCCAGCAGCTTCCTGGAGTTTGCTTCCTTCCGTGTTGCGCCTTGTCCCAGCACCTGGGCTTTCTCTCCCCACAGGATCCTCCCCCTTTGCTTTGCCTTCTGGGGGCAGGTGAGCCCCAGGGGAGCTGCAGGGCACCAGGCAGTCTCTGAAGCAGGTAGGTGGGGTGCTGGGCCCGTCTACATTGCATGGCCCCCACGCTGCCTGTGAACTGTCAGGAGGGGCTGCTGCACTCACTCACACCACTCAGGTGCCTTCGCTGAGAAAGGGGTTTTTCTCTCTCTGTGGGCTGGGGGTCAGGATGAGCCCCAGCAGGGATTGTCTGCAGACACGAGCCGCCGGTGGCAGAAAAGGGCCTGACAAGGGCCATCTGCACTGGCATCTTACTGCCGTGCGAGCGTCCACTATGCACGCTCTGGGCCACCCGAAGAGCCTGTCTTGCTCCTTGGGGAGGCCGCAGTGACTCCAGGCCCCTGTGGAGGGCACATGCCCAGCCCAGGCAGCCTACCTGAGCAGCTCCACCAGGTGGGACTGGGGGGGCCCCCACATGACCCGAACAGCCCAAGACCCTGCTCATCTGACAGTTGCATCTAGACGGTGGCAAGAGGTGCCTCCCACCAGGGCGACAGCATTCCCCAACTGGGACCGTCCGGCCTGTCTCCAGAAATGGTGGAGGGGACAGCAGCCCCCATGAGGCCAAGAGGCCCTCGTGTCCTCCCCAAGGAGCCCTGGCCCCATGGGTACTCTGGTCAAAGATGTAGGGTGATGCACTGGCGAACGGAATGGCGATGGTTAAGTTCTAAATGAGTTTAGTCGTTCTCAGACCTCATCATCTTAGGAACGTACACACACATCTGGCAGATTAAACTGAAACCCCCATGGGGTCTCTGCTCACCACACTGGAGCTCCAGCCAGGCAGGCGTGGGGGCCAGCTTGTCTCTCTCCTAAGGTGTCCCCCGAGCTCTTTAAAAACTCCCACCTGTCTGTGTCACGCCGTAGAGCGGTGCAGCCCCACATAGTTGGGACATACCAGTGAGCAGGACTGACCTGCTATGTCACATGGGGTGCAGAGCGAGCACATGGCCAGAAGCAGTGGCCCCAGGGGCGTGTCAGGGGCCCAGCCGCTTGCCCTTGGTGGCAGCAGTAGGCTGGCGTCGCCTGCTCGAGTGTGCCCCTGTGGCGATGTCCTTTACGACCGGCATTAACTCCCACGTCACCAGGCTCCCTGTGACCCGTTCAGGAATCTCTGCGGTGCAGTCTCGCCGGCCTCTGCGGCCCACCTCACCACCGCGAGGGGGTACCCAGGACACATGTCACTCCGATGGCATGGGGGACGCCGTAGGGCCAACACCATCCCGGTACCCGCCGCGCTGGGCCTTCTCTGAACAGAGACCCCGAGGACCCGGAGCTGGCTGACTGCAGGCCAAGGGCCCAGACACGGGAGCCCCGGGGCCGTGGGATGGCCTGGGCAACAGCACCAGAGAAGCTCACAGGCCCCAACAGCAGCATCTACATTGCACGTCTCGTGTGGATTTCAAAGGAAAGGAACTTGGTGTCTGTAAATCAGAGCCAGTGAGGAGGTGCCTCCTGTTCCCTATTAGTGAGGGAAGAAAAAGGCCACGTCCTGAGCGGGGGCCGCGGGCACTGCAGAGCTGCTGGCGGGGCCTTGTCCACGGCCGAGAGCAGCTTCCTTCCAGGCCTGGCGCTTGGTGTGACGCAATGTCTGGTTTCCGCCTGGCCATGCACCTCGCTGCTGGGGTAGGAGGGGTGGTGACAGCAGAGCACACCGCTGCGCCAGCGGCGCGTTTATAATCCAGATTTATTACAGCATGCAAGTGTGTGAAAGATTAATGCTGATGTTGAGCATGGCTGCTGCTTACAAAGCCTGTTCTCATGGAGGACGTGGGGTGCCCCTGCACCACGCTGGTGTTTGCACCTGGAACAGCTCATGCTCAGACCAGGCTGCATGACGGCGACAGCGTGTGGAGCACACGGCAGATGTCCCCTGGGCTCCCAGAGCCATGTGCCCTGTCAACGGTCAGTGGGCAGCTGCCCCAAGAGCAGGGACCCCATAGCCGACACGCCTGCCCCTGGACCCGCCCCACCCAAGCCCTGCCAGCAGCTGTCTGCCCCCAAGGGCACAGTCCTGGCCTGTAGACACTCACGTCTGCCACGGGGACCCCATCCCCCCGCTCTGGCCACCTGCCCCCCGTCCTGGAGCCACTGCTAAGGTCAGGGGGGCTCATGGCAGCACCCGCCGCTTTTCCCAGTTGCATGGACCAGACTCCTGGCCACCCCTCTGGAGGTGTCCAAGCTCCAGGATGCAGACCTGGGGTCCGTAGGTCTGGGCCGCGCTGCCAAGCATCACACAGATGGTCCTATGTGTCGTGCTCTGCGGGTTTGGGGCCTCGAGCCGTGGCCGCCCCACCCACCCGGTTCCCACATCCCTCGTAATCCAGTGCAGGGCACATACACCCGGCCAGGTGCAGGGGCTCTTTAGGGGCCAGGCCTCAGGTGGCAGCTGCCTCTCACCCAGGGACGCCCCGCAGGTGGTGAACAGCCACCACTGGCTATTTTAGCAGGTGAGCAGGACAGCCACCCAGAGGCCTGGCTGATGACGACATGGCCTTAGCCTGTAGCAAGATAGAGAAGTGGGGTCGGGGCTTTGGCTCCCAACTGGGCCTTAGTCCCCGGGACTCGCCTGGATGAAGATGGCAGTGGCCAGGGCCAGTTCCCACAGGTGGCCAGAGCAACGTGATGGGAATCCTGCCAGGGAGCATTCAGACAGGCAGTCACGGACGCACATGATGGCTGAGCCCAAGCACCTAGGGGGATGCCGTCCCCTCTCACCCCGTCCATCCCCCTACAACCTCATGTGTCCTGCCCATCATCAGACACAGCTTATCTTCTCGCTGAAGGGCGACGTCAAGCACTTCGATCCACATGTCCTGTTTGGGCCAGACCCCAGCCCAGGGGAGGCCCAAGGCCCAAGGTGAGTTAAGACAAACCTTCCTGTTAGTGATGGGATGTCTGGGCCTGGCTCCCACCAGCCCCAGCACCTCACACATCCTGCTCTTCTCTCGGTGATGGCCCTCAGTGCACACAAAATGCAAGCTGTCCTGTGAGGCCTGGACCTCAAAATGCCAATGAGAGGGGGCCCAGGTTCCTGTTAACCAAGGAGCACACAAGGCGCCTAAGGTTCTCTAGCTATAAAACTGCACAAACAGAAAACACGTTTCCACCCTGTCTTTTCTTTAAAATACTCCTTCCACGAGCAGCCTCCCACACGTGGATGGGCTGTGGCTGTGTCTAGGGAAGAATCTGGACCTCGTGGACCCAAGCGCTCTGCCTGGGGCCCTGCGTCCTGCAGGGACCGCTCGCTGCCCTGCCATGCGGTCACAACCCCAGGGGCCCGTCTCTCTAAGACAGACTCACATCCACGCAGCTGACCGCAAGGGGTCCATAAGAGCAGCCATGCTCAGGGGCTGGTGAAGTGCCCCCTGTTCACTGCTGCCTCAAGGGGCCCTTTCCCGGATGCACCCCGCTGGCCCTAAGCCATTGGACGTCCAGCCTCCAGGGCCAAGCGTGGCCAACGGACGTCTTGACAGATTCCCCTTCATGTGCGATGACTCCCGGGCCACCGACCTTAACACCCCAGGTGGCAGTGCTGCCCGGCCACCATCTCCCCGCACACGCTAGCTCTTCCCAGATACTCTGCACAGTCTTGGACAAAAGGGTTTTTGTTCTAAACCCCAGAGAACAAAGTGCAGATTGTTTTCTGTTTGTTGCATGACATTAAAGCCCCAGTTTTACCATCAACATAAACACCCACAATGGTGACTCCGGGGCACGCCTTTCCTAGACAAGGAGAAGGGAAAAGTCGTAACTGCAACCACTTGAAATGGCAGCCCTGAGGGGCGAGGACCATGGTCTCTCC